TCCAGCTCTATCTAGAACTCGTTTCAAGACTTGACCACTGGTGGTCATCTACCAAACTTCACTTCGCCACTTGAAATTGCAGTGTTGTTAATAAGACAAATGTCACGAAGAAAATGAATATCATTACAAGAGTTAAGGGTCTGTATAACATGGAATGGAGTTCCCAAATTAAGGGTCGGGGTTAACCTTGGGAGTTCAGCACTTACAAAATACACCCTCCCATATGACTCTTATATGAAAAATGCCCACACAAGAAGTATGTACCATTAAAACAGAAACGTTGTAAGGGGGGGGGGATTATAAGGATAGCAAAAGTCAGCAAAGTTAACATTAACGAAAATAAGGTATTCCATTTCTGTGGAGTCATTGAGCGACGGTGTGTGTGTGGTGGGGGGGACCTCCTCCACTATCAAAGAAATTTGGAAATATTATATAAAACGAGTTGATTTTTATCACACTGGAGAAACCATGGGAAACAAACAAACAAACAAACAAAAAAAACGTTAAAAACAGCACATTATTAAAACAGTGTTACCAGTTCGCCCCTGAAGATGTGAGTATGTCTTCCACAAATTCCATTTTAGTGTTAGTTTAATTAATTTACGTTTCAGCAAAAACACATTGCTCAGTCTCACTTAAAATTACAATGGTCATCTATGATAACAGTAGGTGTGAAGATATATGCACAAAACAGGCGTACATGTTGGATGAGATTTTCTAAATGGAATACCGTATTAAATCAGTATTATATATAACATTTTAGAGGAATCTTCATAAATAAATATAATAAAAACTCCTCTAAATCAGATTCACAAGATAAGGTTTTTAGTTTAAAAGGTTTACAAGAAAGTTTTGCGTTTTGCTACAGACTGGGGCATAACTTATGTCCAAGCAATAAAAGGGGGGAGTGGATCTGGTACTCCAGGGAGACGCGTGACGATTTTGTGTTTATTTTATAGCAAAGTCACAAGAACTATCTGCTGTGTCTACCACGAGAAATCGAACCCCAGATTTTAGCGTTGCAGATTTACCGATGCCCTACAAGGGGGGGGGGGGCGACTCGTGACGATAATGTTAAATTAAGTTTTTTTTTATTTTGATAGTGCTTGAAAGTTTATCTTTTATTTCACATACTTGTGCGTCCAAGTTGTCAAGAAAATCGTTCAAATTCATAATACTCAAAATATCAATACTATACACTAGCTGATAATTCGAGAAAAATGGGTTTCAGAACTTGCAATGAAGCAAAACAAAACTAGAATAGCTATGTATAAATTACAACGGAAATTGTTATTCAAATATACTTAATACTTATGCAAAACTAGTTTCCATGTTTTTATTAATTTATTTTTTACTTAAATAGGTTAGTGTAAGCCTATGGAATGTTTCATGTTCATCTTATATTTTAACATAATTTTACTTTCGTAGCTACGGCCTATGTGTACCTATATATTTTACGAATGTTTCCATTTTATTTTTTATATATGACTTCGTATTTCCGAGCCTTACTGTATCTAATGTACACGCCTATTATTTGTTGTAAAGATAGCAAATACCTACATATAAGGCCTATTGAAATGTTTTAAGCTATATTATGAAACTTGTAAATTGTGAAGCGGAAGAAGTTAAAAGCATGCATTATTTATTCTATTTTTCATGTTTTTGTTAATAAAAAAATCCCCCAATAATACTACGTGTGTGAAAACGGGTTTCAGCTTAGTTAGAAAAAATAAAATAAAAATCCTCTTAAGACAGTAAAGGGGCGCTAGCGCTGGTTAACTTAACCCTCTTAGGCTTGAAAGAGAGACGATAGGTACGATAACCTGTGAGAAAAGTTTATTTTGTTTTGTTTCAATTTTAGTTAGTCGAGACATGAGTCAATTTTGGGGCTAATATAGCGTGCATTATAAAAACAAAAACTGATAGCTTCCCATCTCCCCAAAATAAACTCGTTCTTCTACTGAGCTGACTTTAGTACTGTTAGAGCCTAAGCCTAACAGTTGTAACTTTGAGGTCTATAGTTCCAATAACGATAGTGGAAGTTGTGAAAATAGTGATAGCAACAACAAAATATCTGAAAAACGCTTTTGAAATCAAATTTAACAGAGACATATGATAACACTGTTGAACATATTATTTCATGCTTAACCCGTTTCATTATAATATTGGAGATGACAGAAAGGACAGTAAACGATGTATGGTTTTTCATCGTGGGCCTTGCCAACGGAGTGGCATTTCTTAGATATTAACCGGTGTTTATCTGATAGTTACTACCAAACTACTATTGCCGTTGGCTATGCTACTCGCAGAAAAATGGTTCTACATACTATCTAACACTGTTTTATGGAGACCGTAGAAATAATTTATAACATCAGACGGCATAAGTGATTGGAAGGGATTGTCAAAGAAAATGAACACACATGAAAGAAGGCAGGTATTGTGTACGATAAGTGCATGAAAAAAAAAAAGATGAGTGATGAAGTTTTGGAATTTGAAACTAAGAAAGACACCCACTTTTGGGAAGCCATTCTTGAATGTGTAGTTCAAGTAACGTTAACCCTATAAATAAAGCTTTTCGCGACCGCAGACAATAGTTGCATGAATGAGCTACTGGAATTTTTTGGCTGTAATTGAATATCTTTCGGAATATGATCCAATTTCTATAAGTATTATTAACCAGGGTAAAAGGTTCGACTAAATATATCGGCCCCAAATAAAGCAACGCCATTTTATGACACAAAACATTTCTAAAACGAACCACTTGAGTCAGGTATTATATAAATGAGGATTCCTGAACTGAAATTTATTGATTGGTTTGATTTGTTCTGAATTTCGCGCAAAACTACACGAAGGGTATCTGCGCTATCCATCCTTAATTTAGCAGTGAAAGACTAAATAGAAGGCAGCTAGTCATCACCACCCACCGTCGACTCTTACGCTACCTTTTCTTTTACCAACGAATAGTGGGTTTGACTGTAACCTTAAAACGCCACCATGGCTGAAAGTGCGAGCATGTTTGGTGGGATGGGGATTCGAACCCGCGACCTGCAGATTGCGAGTCGAGTGCCCTAACCATCTGGCCTGATTTATTTAGGAATGTGATACACATCCTACTTATATATAGACGTGAGTTCTTTATTTTAATTCGCTTAAAAGACTCGGGGGCTCAGCCCCCCCCCCCCGAGAATAATTAGGTATTTCGACACAATATACAATGAGGTATTGAACTACACTAGTAAGCTGAAACAAGCTATATAATATGCTAAGCGAATTTGATCATGTTTTTCTATTCCGACTTTTCAAGACACCAACTGGACAAACTTTGAGAACTAATGAGTAAAAAAACAAAACAAACAACACTACAACGAATTATGCTCAGATGAAAGAATTGCGAATTCAGCAAAAGTAGTTTAAAACAGATGTGTTTCTAGCAAGTTTGGACATAATTATTGGTCAAATTGAACCCAGATTTTAAGGGTTAAAATCCATCGGCGATCTTTTCAATTTTATTACACAAGTTAAATGAGGTTTGCTGCCGATAATGAACTCTTTGCGAATGATGACATTCTGGCACTGGGCATTATCTTACGTTACTCTTAAGATCCGATAAGTTTTATTTTGGTAAAAAAATTAGGGCTACGTCGTCAATCGCTTCCGAAGGGATAGGCTCACATGTATTATCCTTTTTCATTCTGTTTTAATAAAAGATCGTTTTACACTCATAAAGCAGTTTGAGTGGTTATCATTACCCATTCGAGCCGTCTTTATACTTATAATGGTTGGAGACGGCTCGAATGGGTAATGAAGAAAAACTTTAATATAAGTTTGTTTGTTTGTTTTGAATTTCGCGCAAAGCTACACGAGGGCTATCTGCATTAGTCGTCCCTAACTTAGCAGTGTAAGACTAGAGGGAAGGCAGCTAGTCATCACCACCCACCGCCAACTCTCACGGCTGAAAGGGCGAGCATGTTTGGTGTGACGGGGATTCGAACCCGCGACCCTCAGACTGTGAGTCTAGTGCCCTAACCACCTGGCCATGCCGGGCCCTAATATAAGTTTAACATAACTTAAGCCTAATCCAGGAGTAAGCTTGGTTTGCTAAGTATTTGCTTAGCCAAGCCCTGCACTTTACTTACAAAATAGTGGATCACCTTCGGCCCATCATCAGTTTTAGAAGAAAACCTAAACCATATATGTTGAGGTCCGCACAGTGGTGAAATTATGCGATAATATTTTGACCTTTCTGTTTTATTGACTGGCTTTTCAACAGTATTGAAAACACGTAAAGGTGAGAATCCGAGTATAAATATTTAGTTGAAAAGCTGTCCTTAGGAATGAAAGCGCATAAAGATGGGTGTAAATTTAAGAATTATTCAGATATTTCCTACACCTAAATCTGCATCAAAAATCCATGGAATAACATTAACTCAACTGGACTTAGAGATTTGGCTCAAAATGCAGTTTTCACACAATCATGATATGGATTTAATTACACCTAATTTGAGCTTATATGTTTTCATATCACAGTTCATCATCTGGATGTCAAGAAAATCCGAGTACTAAATTGAGCTGGAAAGTTTTAAACTATCATTTCGAAGGGAAGAGTACAATATTGTATGCTATATAAAAATCTTACCCCCAATCACCAAAAGAGTTTCATCTTGTCACTGGTGTTGTGTAATCCCAAAATGAGCAAGTTAAAGCTAAGTAACAAGAGGACTGCACATGACCCGGGAGCTATAGCTTTGCAGAAAGTAACTAATTTGTAATTGAACTTGTAATGATGTAGAGCTGACAAACAATGAGGGCACTTGAGAAAAAAGTCAAAGCTACATTATCACATATATCACTATGTACAAATCCTGGACAAACTGACATAGCTCTATTTTACACTTACACAACTGTATAATAAATTTCCTCTTATTTAACATGACATCGCAACTTATCAGTAAAAACTCTGAAAAATCAATGGTTAAAAATAATTCATATGAATTCAATAATCTTGGCCACTTTTTTTTATATTTTATTGGCTGAGCAATCATGAGCCATGACAGACAAACCTTACAGAACACAAAAATACAATATATCAAACAGCTGTCACACTCAAGGGCTTTTTTTGGCAAGAGCTGGAGAAAGGCTTTACCTTTCCACTTACAGCAGTACCAGAATCATCTGCAGTCTCCATATTGATGTTATCACACTTTTCCACTGACTGTTCTGGCAAAGTCTGTGTTCTTGAATTACCATTGTTGTTGCTTGTACTGATGTCTTTTTTGTTACATTCTGTTGATATATTTGATGGCTGAGGGTTAAGGTTCAGGGTCTGCGACTTACCATTTCCTAGGATAAGGTTGCCACCCTCTTCCTCTGTGATGGACGATCTTCCACTCGGAAAAGGAATGTTGTGCCGGAAATGCCCAGTGTTACAGGAGTGGACACTGTAAGCTTTATTTAAGGCACTCTGGTTTGTGGAGTGTGGACTTTGAAAGTAATCCTGGCTTGGCACATGTGAACAGTCTGCAGAATCTGGATGAGCAGAGTTGGTGGACAGTGCAGAAGAGCTGATTGTGTCAATATTTCTGGGGTTTTCTACTTCTGAATCAACCAAGATGTTTTTCCCAAAAGAGTGACTACTCCGTGGACTACCATCCAATTCTTGTAATTCAAAGGAAGAAATATCAGCACAACCTTGACAGGTTACCAATGGATGATGGAATCTGTGTGGGAAAGATGATTCATCATCACTAAATCCATTCTCACTGTCAAAAGGATCTAAGCTACCTGTTTGGATTGTGCTGTTCTTATAAAAATTTGGCAATCCTGAATCTTTTGTATTGTTAGCCAGTAAATGGTCATAATCTTTCCCATGTTTCTCTTTATCTGCTCTTTCTATTTCTGATCTCATTCGTCGAACTCGTTCTGCTCTCTTCTCTGGACAGTCCTCAATTATATCTAGGTACTGAGGCCTGTTATTTATGACCTCTGGCTTAACATACACTGAAAAGAAACAAATATTGTAAAAAGTAAGATGTAGGATTATAAAAATATTATACAATGATAAATCACTAAAACAAAACTTGATACACACGTACTTAAAAAATATAAGTTACTTAATGAAGAATACTGATGAAAATATAAAAACTACAAGAAGATAATGCACAAAATATAAAACACCATGTACAAATAAGTAGAATTTATGATATAATTCAACAAACAACATAAGGGTACAGCACTAAAGCAAAAAAAGTTTTCTGTCTGTTCTTTTCCAATGATTATAACATGAAGTTGTAAAGAGAAACATGCATGTCAAAGTAACCAGAAAATAAGAGTGTAGCTGTGTTAGACAGCATTTATCTCATTATTTTTCCTAAATAAAAATAGTTCAGACAAAATATTTGGAAAAATTTGAATCTGTCCTCTTAAGGTCAGGACAACCTATTAATTTGAATGACTATAGCTGTAATGGGTATTGAGAGGTCAGAGCATTTAAACTTGCTTATGTGTGTGTGAAATACAGACCTTTTAAGGCCTGTTTCTGTTAATAATGATAAAATAACACAATATCATGTATAGCAATTGGTGAAAAACCACAGTAAACGGAAACTGTCTGAAGAAGACAACACGAGACTGAATAGGTTGAACGAATGTGTCAAAACTCTAATATCAGACTTCTGACAGTTTGTTCTGTTTACAGTGGTTTTTCACTAACTGCCTGTTTCTGTTGTTCAGTGTTTGTCATTATCTAATCCAAGACTGCTGTTGACTACTGGTTTTCTAATTCTTTTGTGTAACAACTCATTTATTTTCCTAAATTCACAGTTTCTCTGCTTTGTCAATAGGTTTATAGTTCTTTCAGTCAATTTAATGTCCAGATAAAACTGTCTTTACAACAACAGCTTATGGGGAAAAAAATCAAAATCTGAGTAATAACAGATTCTTGACGAACATAACCAGTTTTTCAAAAGCCTGCTAATCATCCCTTCTGATGCTATCTTAGTTAACTATAGCATTAAAGACAGGCTCTTGAACATACCATGTCAAAGACCCCCTAACTTTTCTATGCCAAAGACTGAAAGATGATTGGTATCTTAAAGCGCTCCCGATGTTTTGCACTATGCCTAAATTATTTCCACACCAAAGGCTAGGCTATGGAATCATAATCTATAAACAAATTTTTAATTTCAAGTTTTACCTGGGCATCATTCTACTTGGTTTTATATTGAGGATCTTTCATCATTTGCCAACCTATTAAACATCATTATTTTGACCACTGAAATTCACAATACTCAACCACTATATATTCATATATAAATATGAATACCCATACAGATATTCAAAATAACTGGTTGTTTACCTCCCTTGGTGTCTTTGTCAGATGCCAATCTATATATATTATCATATCCACAACTAATTTACTAGAAACTAAACTCATACTAACGTAGTGATCTAACCTTTTTTGGAAAGTCAAGAGAAGAATGTAAAATGCTTGTTTGAATGAACTATTAAACTTGATGATGAAGAAGATTTACCCCATGAATTCAGCACATCTGAAATATCTTCTATGCCAGTGGTTAGCTCTTTCATTAGCATGAGCACTGCCATGAATACATATGTTTCCCTTTGAGCACTGTCATCAGCATATACATGTCTCCCTCTACAGAACTGCCAAGGGCACATACATGTTTCCTTCTAAAGCACTGCCATGAATACATATGTTTCCCTTTGAGCACTGCCATGAATACATATGTTTCTCTTTGAGCACTGCCATCAGCAAATATATGTCTCCCTCTACAGCTCTACTATCAGAGTGAAGAGAAGCAGAAGTTTCTGACCACTCCAGGTTATATTTCATTCCCAGAACTTTTAACCTAAATTCCTACCATGATTGGATTGGGTCTACTATCAGCACATACATGTCTCCCTCTACAGAACTGCCATAGGCACATACATGCCTCCTTCCAGGGTAATGTCATCGGTACCTATGTTTACATTACTGCCATGGACACATTTATTTTCCTTCTACAACACCATCATGGACTCACATGTCTCCATCTAGAGCACTGCCATGGATGTGTACATGTCTCCATCTAGAGCACTGCTGTGGATGTATACATGTTTCCATCTAGAGCACTGCCATGGATGTATACATGTTTCCATCTAGAGCACTGCCATGGATGTATACATGTCTCCATCTAGAGCACTGCCATGGATGTATACACGTCTTCATCTAGAGAACTGCCATGGATGTATACATGTCTCCATCTAGAGCACTGCCATGGATGTGTACATGTCTCCATCTAGAGCACTGCTGTGGATGTATACATGTCTCCATCTAGAGCACTGCCATGGATGTATACACGTCTTCATCTAGAGAACTGCCATGGATGTATACATGTCTCCATCTGGAGAACTGCCATGGATGTATACATGTCTCCATCTAGAGCACTGCCATGGATGTGTACATGTCTCCATCTAGAGAACTGTCATGGATGTATACATGTCACCATTGACACATATACGAGATACACCAAATAACATTTGTTTTAACATTGAATAGAGTGATATTAGGTACATACTCTGAGAAAAATGTATCCAATAAAACCAATAACTATATAATTAATTTAAGAAATTAGATTTTGCCCATTAATTTGCAAATTTTGGAACAAATTCACAAATAATTATTTTACCTAATATTTTTTATGTTATAAGAACCTGATCATCTGTGAAATATTTCATGCTGTTATCTCTAATAAATAATAATGCTGCATATTTCTGTGTGTATCCAAAAAATAAACCTGGCATTGAGAGCTCTATTTACTTATAAATACTGCAATAAAAAAAAAGTTAAACCCATAAGCTTAATCGATAGAGACACTTCACTAAATATTATTACTGGCTTACAAGCGAAAGAAAAGCTCAAATTATCCATTGGCAACCAGTATATTTCAAATGCTTGTTAAAAATCAACAAATTCTGTGAGAATTTTCATATTGAGACCTACTTTTCTAACATTAAAACACTACAAACCCAACTAACAAGCATACAATAACCACAACCAGTAAATTTCTTAACAAATATACTGTTGATACAGTTCCCTGGACTAGAACATCGATTGGTTACTGTCTAATGAAGATCAATAACTCTACTACAGTGTACTATTAAGTTGTTAATGACCACCAAACTAAATAGAGAAATTAACTCACAAAGACGAAAAACTGAAATGTTACAAATGTGAAAGATACAGATATAGTTGACTTTAAATTAAATATTATCAGTCTTTGATGAATAGCTACATTCTAAATGGGTTTTTTTAGAGGTTCATACTTCAGACCCAAATACAACCCATTTAGTCAGTCCTCATTACAGTAATAAAGTAAAAGAGTTATTACCACATTGATTTAACCCCCGACAAAGGCCGAGACACGTGTTGTGAAACACTGATTCTAAAGAAAACCTTTCTAAGGCACTTTATTTATTAAATTGGTTATAACTGTAGCAAATAAAAGATAAATTGGTAAATCTTGTTTTCTCTCTCTTTTTTTTAAAAATGGTATTTTTAAAACTTTCACCATGCTATGCATACAGATACGAGACCAATATGAATGCCAACTTTAAAGATGTATATGTTTCATCTGTCACTCCCTGGGTTCTGTTCTTAAAAGCCTGTATTTATTTATGATCTGTTTCCTTCTTTTATTTTCTCTTTCTTTATGTGCAACTATCCTTCCAGTTTCTACTACTGGATACAGAAAGTGGTTGGTAGTTTTAAAATTATTAAGGTTTATTTTTTAATTCACGTTTCATTTTACACTTGAGGCTTGCAAATGGAGTTTGAATCTAATAGACAATGAATCCCCACCAATTTGTGGGTTTATGTGTGCAGATATTTCTTTTACTAAGATACAATTCGCCATTCTCACTGTAACTTTTATGCTAGTCCTATCTGTCTGATCCATATGTGCAACACTATGTATTTATGGCCTAGAGGTTTTAAATTTAATAAATTATCTAAAGCAGAAAGATTGTATTTATTACATCTTTTTCATTTATATATTAAAATTCATTTTATCATTGTAGTTTAATGACTTTAGTGTACCTGCCCATAATTTATTGTCCTAATTTGTGCATCTGCTTTTATATGTATTAATTAGTAACAAATATAACATGAATAAATTAACACTGAAAAAAATTATTAAATCATTAAAGCTTACTCTTGAACATTTAATTCCATATAACTTTCAACAATAAATTATTCACTCACTAAGACTCATGCTTTAAAATCAAATTCTATAAACTTTTCATAAATAAGCTAATCGTCTCCTAAACTTTTTCTCGACAGATGAATTCTATACAACTTTAATTAATGAATTATTCTAACTTACTCTGTAAAGTCAAATTCGATACAACTTTAATTAATAAATTATAGAGTCACTGTAACTTACTCTTGAAAGAATTGCTTCTTATCCTCATTGGTTCATCCTAAAATAAAACAAAAAATCTTAATCATTTGGCCAAATTGAGCTATAATAATGTACTTTATCATTCCTTCTAAACTACAGGGAATGCCTAATAGGTGGCATTACAGCTTTGTCAAGTAACTTTTTAATACTCTCTGTCTTAAAAGTTTATTTCTGGTGTGAAAAAAATTGGTCTAAATGTTGTTCTGGTTCATTCTAGGATAGGGTTTTGGTCATTACACTATCTCCTCTCAGTAGTGATATTAAACACACCATTAATGGAGTATTTGAATTTAAAATTGATGATTTATACAGCCAATATTTTCAGTAAATTATAAGCAAGAAAAAATTTCTCAATGCATATCTTTATGTCATAAATAGTAATTTTAAATGAAGGCAAACTTAACTTAAAAATTCATGTTATTAAATCGCGCAAAGAAGTATTAAAAAACTATAGGACTCTAGGTCTCTCTATCTTTCCGTAACTACTATGCTCGTAAACTTTGCAAATTTCATACAAAATAGATTTACGGAATGTATGTAATGAGTATTAAGAAAGACCAAAAACAACTGACATACTATGTGATACCAGTTTTAAAATGCCTAAGATCATGAACTGTGTTTCCTTACAACCTTCTTAGTCATTTCATTTTAGATTTTACATCAGAGGAGTGTAAAAATGTAGTATTACAGATTTATTTTTGTCTGCCACAGGTCACTGCTCAAAATATCTTTTATTCAATACCAGAACAAATCAGCTAGGCTAGACTTACAATAAGCCCACGTCTAATTGAAATAACATTTTAAATGCAGTGTAAAAAAGGTCAATGTTATAATGTCCAGTACCCTAAATGTATAATGTAAAAGCTATGAATAACTACATTTGTTTTTCCTCTAGAATTCTCTTAGGATTTGTTTTAAAGATTTGAAACTAGAGGTGTTTGTAAGTATAAAAGATTGTGCAAAAAAACGTGCAGTGTTTCTCTACATCTCTTAAGCCTAAAACCTTTCATGCTTCATCAGCTTACTAGTTTAACATCATAATGTAAATGTTTAATACACATAAATGGCATTTCAGTAAAGTATAGTTGATGTCTGCTGATACTTCATGACAGAGACAAATAAAATACCTTTTAACATCTGTTATGAGAGGACAAAGGAAGACAATATCTGAAGTGTGACCTGATTATTCTTATTACAAACTTTAGGCCTATGCGTGTTAGTCATAATGTTCAGTAACAAGTATGAAAAAAACGAACAAATTAAATAAATTAGGTTGGAGCAAGCAAGACTAAATTATTCAACCAAATTTTAAATTTCAAAATGACTTTTGATAATATTAAAACACACAAATATGTATAAGAAAGAAATAAGACAAAGATAATATCCAATAACTTCCAAGATAATAAAGCACAATGTAATCATACATCAAAACTCATATTTTCACTTCGGCTAAATTTTAATGATTTTTTTAATGAAAGAAAATATTGAGAAATGTGTCACATGTATTGATTATTCATTGAATTTAACTAGGATAATAAGTTTCACAAAACTGAAAAAATCTCTTTATACAACAAGCTATATGATGTTCGATGCATAACAGCACAACTAAAACTGTGACAAACTTCAACTTCATTTTAGCCAAAAGTTATTTCACTTACTCATTAACGATTATGTACACCTGCTATATACATAGTCTACGCGGCTAAAAACATATATTTAAATAAGAGTCTAGAATGCAATGATTTTTCAATTAATGTCATATTTTAATAGCTTTTGCTTTTATCAGACAAAAACAAGTTGATTTAAGATACAATAAGTTTAATGTTTTTCATAATATTAACAAATATTTTCATTTGATTTTTTACAAGAACATGTCACAATAAGCTTCTACTTTATTTATTAATTTTTTGAATTACAGGGCTAAAGTTTTTATTACAGAAGAACTGAAAGCTTTATGAATAATTTAAAATTTTATTTTTCTGTGTTACTAAGAATAATACATACCTGTTGTTTAGTTTTTAGTTGATCATGTTTTAAACAAAAACTGATCTGATGACGCTAAAAGATAAAAAAAATATATATATATAATGTCAATAATAAATAGTGAAATTCAAGGCACAATGAATTTGAAAAACACCTGTTAAAATATCATCATCAAAATGCAATGTCTACAGAACTGGAGATTTAACTTTGTCTGATCAAAGGCCCCTAACGTTCAGGTATAGCCATACTTAATTTAGAACCACTGACCAGAGAAAAGGCAAATAATCAGCAGTAACCACCACCTATGTAGCCAAACATAACTAAATAAATATTTATAATGGCATTATTTGCCATAAATCTAGAGCACTGACACTTGGAAGTGCATATTATGTGCAGTGGCACATCACAGTTCAAACCGTGGACTTTTCAATCTGCAGTCAACACATGACCTAGTGGTTAGCATGTTGACTACAAATTCAACACACAAATCACTAAGTCATCTTAGCCCTTAATCATGTTAAGCTACAACATTAAAAACTTCAGTATTAAAGCATAACTGTGTATTAGACACTGAAACATATCTATTTCTAGTTTAGCTAATTGTTAACCTATCCAAATAAATTCCTAAAAGAATTGCAACTTACGTTTTCTCCATGGACAGTGAAAAGAAGAAACGTTACCAACCCCTGAAATATTACAAATTTTAAGTGATAAATAAAAACTTCACAGCACAAGTTTCTAAAATGAAGTATGAAGAATTTGATCAACATTGTTATTATGAAAGGTGCCCATACTACTGTGCAAATAAAAATAACTGTATTGCCTTAAAAAACAAAAAATTTCAAAGGAATAAGTATCAAATCAGTCTTTTTATTAATAATTCATATATCTAATGGTTGTAATTATTCGGGTGTGGTTTGATTTGAATTTGTACAAAGCTGCATGAGGGCTATCTGTGCAAGCCATCCCTAATGTAGCAGTGAAAAGACTAAAGATAAGGCAGCTAGTCATCGCCACCCACTGCCAACTCTTAGGATACCTTTTTTTTTTAACCAATGAACAGTGGGATTGACCATCACATTATAATGCCCCCACGGCTGTAAGGGCGAGCACGTTTGGTGTGACGGGGATTCGAACCCGTGACCCGCAGATTGCGAGTTGAGCGCCCTAACCAGCTAGCCTGATTTATTTAGGAATGCGAAACATTGGCCTAATTTTACTCACTAATTTTGTGCCATGTTCCCATGAAAGTTCATTAACCCTAATTAAAGCCTATTATTTATTTGAGGCATCATGGAACATATTTTGAAACTCTACCTGGCTGTTATTTAGATAAGCAACAAGTGCTGGAAAATGGTAGATACTGAAAAAAGTTTTTAAACATTTAGTCACTTAAATAGGCTTAAGTTTGTTTTTTTACATTTGTTTAATACAGAATAATTTCCCTATTTTTAGTCTCTTGAATAGACTTAAGCTAGTTGTTTTACATTTGTTTAATACAGAATAATTTCATTCATATCTCACTTTTATTTCAAGGCACCAAGTTTAAAAAAAAATATCAACTGGTATTAAGAAAACATCTTCCTTCAGGAAAATGACAAAAGCGAAACAAAAAACAACTCACTAATAGCGATGATGCCAAAGCAAACACATATTTAGAAACACTGGAGTCATTATTTGTGTAGAGAACACTTGAGGAAGACATCAGAATTAAGGCAATCAGCACAAAGATGGAGCGGTGTATCAGTCCTTTCCTGAAAAAAACAAAACAAAATATCAATTTAACCGATTAAAATGACAATTTAGTGTTTGCAAAACTATGTGTATTTTTACACGTAACAACACATCATACATTGTTTTTCTTCAAAATTTTGTTTCTTGTTATAGATTATGAAAGACAACAAATTGTTTTTCAACGCTAATATTTGTTGATTTTATTCTAAGTTTCGGTGATAGAAGTCTTGTTTTATAGTTTAAGGCTAGTTTTTTTGTTGATGTAAACAAGAATAATGTGAAGATATTACAGATATTCTAGGATAAAATTATCTGACTGATCAATCAGTATCTGAAGGTTTCAAGAAAGCCTGTTAAGAGTTTCTTTATATTGATCTTGTGAACAATAACTGCTTGGATTTACATTAGACTACTGTTTCAGAAAATATTCAAATGTTTAGGCTGAAAAGCATTCAGACCAAAAGTTGGACTTGAGATCACCTACTTCTCTATGGGTGTAGTTGTAACTGTCAATGTTTTAAGATAATGTCCTGGTTTACTTCCAGAAAAACACAAATGTTTTTAATTTATTCAATTAATTATTTTACTTGAATTTTCTATATATATATAAATTTCTATTAATCAATAACTCTAATAGACAATTGTCTCAAACAAATACAGTTTGGAGCCTGTTAAACAATGTTAAAATATATTCTTTGGTTCAAATAAGTAAGTGCTGTACGCTGTTAATGTCATATTATGCTTTATACCTATCACACAAGAACAGCAAACACTTACTGGTCTGTGTGAGGTGTGGCTAACCATAAACAGGGAGACATCAGAAAGATAAAATCAACTTTAGGAGAATATAAGTAAAGTGATGGATATGTTTCTAACCCTTATCTTTATAGAGCTTAAGAGTTTCCATTTCATGCTTTCATATGTGTTAAAACCATTAAGTTCATGTACGCTCCTGAACCAAAATTTGGACCAAACTAAGTGCCAAATACAATGATGACTGATTATTTTTAACCCTGCACTAGTCTTCTGGGATCTTCATGGACACCAAGTGCATTTTGTAAACATCGGTGCTGACAGATGGAAGTACGTATATGTTTGTTTTTCTCAATAGCTTCAGTATCTGGCTAGTTTGTGTTAAATTGTTACATTTAGTTGAAGTGGTAGAAAAATAAACAAGTTGTAATATTTAATCTTCATTTATTGATTAATAAAGAAAGAGATATTGAGTGTTAGAGTTTCTGTTTCCAAACTAATAAATTATTATTATTATTTAAATACTTTTAAATGAATTTTTTGATGGGGTCTGCTAGGACTATGGAAATTTTTTATATGGGGTTAAATATTACAATAAATGTTTTTAAGAATTTTCTCACCTGTTGTGTACTTTTTTCAGCATTGGAGAATCGAACCGTTCATGCTCTTTCAATTCAGCTTTCACAGTCACAAACATCAAAATATACAACTGGAAAGTATAAACATTTATATGAGAATGTAAAACGAAGTAGCCATTTTTCAATATTGGTATATCTATGAAACTTTCTACCATGCAAATTTAAGACTTAATTTTTACACTTACATAAGTCTCATAAGATATTAATTTATAAACTTTTCAAAATTATATTTAGAACTTTCTTTTTTTGAAAAACAAATACATCAAATATTCAGAACAGCATGCACAGGGTTTTTTTTTTTTAACTAAGAACTTTATGGCCATGTATTTTGGCAACTTAATAATTTTTTATATAATATTATCCGCAATTTTGTGCATAAGTATAATTGTGGTTTATAAAGTGTGCATAAAATCAGTTTCAATTCTCAATCTTTCTATTAAAGAAAAATTCTGAAGGGAAAAGTTATTGTTTGTTGGAAGAAAAAAAAAACAGTATCGTTTCGCAGCATAAATGTAACCAATGATGATAAGAGTAAATGAACTGAGAAATAGGAGAATTTGATAGAGTGTGAGATATTGTAAACATAACTATTTTAGTGCAAAACCAGATATGTTGTTCACTGATTTAAAATAACTAAAGTTAAATTAAAAATCACACTTTCTTCTTGTCTAGTAAAGCTTAGACTTTGACTGATTTTTTGAATGTACCGTATTTTTCTGTGTATAAGACGCACTTTTTTACCCCAAAAGTTGATGTAAAATCTGTTTGCGTCCTATACACCAAAGGTATGAATAATATATATGTATATATATATATATACGATATACACAAACCATGTGTAAATATATTTAAATAGGCATGTATAGTTTAGTTCAATTTTACTTTAAAAACATAACTATTTATTATGCTCTCTAAGTAATAAAAAAATAAATTACAGTGAAAGCAATGAAGATTTTGTAGGTTTTTGAAACCAAACTAAATAACAGTAAACGTTTTTTTGATTTTACGGTATTTTCTTAAATTTGATGTTTCGAGACTCTTTGTGCTTAGAACAATATATACTAATTT